AACTCTTAAAATACGAATACACCTATCAAGCTACTAAGCTAGTTCTATCGGCTAAGGTGCTAAGTTACCTATTGTTACCACTAACGGATATGAAACATGGCATGTACTATCTTAGTAATTAAGGGCATTCTCACTCTTAATACTGATTTACTATATGTATACTAAAATAAGGAGTACTAGCTACTCTATTTATCAACCTACTCAAGGGCTACAAAAATCACAATGAATATATAATAATCTAATGAACCTACTGTAGAAATTTCATGGCTAAAGCTATCACCAATTTGCCACAAAAATTCCTACAAATATTAAGCTAAATAATACTAAGCTTTCCTAAATGAATTAATGAATCTATCATTATCATAGATAATTGTAAAATAACTATAACAATAAATAGATAGCATTTTTGTGAACCTAACAAATTTTGTTTCACTATTTTTGGACATATACAGAATTTACTATAATTTTTCAAAGTTTAGCTCAAAACTAAATTGAATAAACATTTATTAATTCACTGGAAAAAGGAAAACCGAATCCACCCGCGCGGTCCACTGCACGAGCAACTCGGCCCACTCCGGCGCCTCGCGCGCGCGCACTACGACCCAGCAGCGCGGCCCAACACGGACGTGGCCCATCCGTGCGACGACGGCCCACGACGGGGAGGCCCCCGCGCGCATGGACGCTTATGCAAAAGAGCCCTCGGCTTTCAACTAAATGGACCCACAGTCCTTTCTACTATTTCACTCTCTCTTTGACGCTCTCACTAACCCCCCCTCCCCCCCGACTTACTTCGAATTCTCATTTCAAAGTCCCTGGCTAGAACTTATTATAGGTCACGGCATCTCCGGCCAAACGCCGACGAGCACGGACCTCCTCGGCAGCAAACATCACCACCGTGACACTCTTCATCACAAGCGCAGTCGATAGAGGTATAAAACACCACGATTGGTGCCGCACAGAGGCGTGGTCATGCACCACGGCGGGGTATGGCCTTGGTGACACTGATGCCGGTGAAAACATTTAGCCTAGCGCTACCATCACTACCTAGCCTCCATGCCTAGAGTACTAATAACATTCTAGAGGTCCTAGATATACCCGTTCTACTCCCAAATGAGCCGGCCACGGACACAGCATCTACACCACGTTCGCCGGAGGCGGCCATGTGCTCCGGCGAGCCTTGACCCTAACCGATTCAACCATCTACCCTAGGAACAGGAGGGCCTCACCAGAAATGTGTAGGATGGCCTGTATGAAGTGCGAGGCGCGGCAAGGTGGTTGGCCACGTGCGCGGGGTTGCTCTGGTTCACGACAAGTGCGGTGACGGCGTCCTCGGCGACTCGTTGCACTCCTGGTGAAACTGTTTCATAGGAGAGGCAACCAAGTCAAGGAGACGCAAAAGCACCACTCAATTGAGACAAAGGGGCAAGGAATGACGCCTTGGCCGAGCACCCACCCCGACGGCCATGGCGGATCACCACGAGGGAAAAGCTCCATAGTACCTCACTAGAGGATGAAAGCTTGTCGGGTCGACTCCAATCATGAGCTAACCACCAGAGCTAGTTGGGTGCACGGTTAATTGGACGGAGGTGGACGATGCGAGGCTAATTGGGTGGACGACATCGTTCGGTCTTAAGGTGGTCGATGGTGGGGGAAACCTCAAATTGAAGCCCGACACCATACGACTGCAATAGTGGTAGGCTTGGCGTAAAGCTAGGCTCCAATTCAAGCTCCAAGCGTGCGCAATTACACGGATGGGGCCAAGCTAGCGGGTTGGCCTTACAGCGGCTCGGCTGGCCGGCGCGACGCCATTCAAGGCGACTGTGACGGGAGTGCGGCGTGGCACAACCACTAAATGGAAGAGGACAACAGTGCGACACATGATGGCTCCACGTGTGCGTACGAGGCCGGCACGACGACGTGCGATCGTAGCGCTTTGACTCACAAGACAACGGTGGCCAGGCCACGTGACGGCGCAGCGGGGGCGCGCAGCAGCGGCAGCGACGACGCGACGCAAGTGATGTGAGCGCACGTGAGGTGACAATGCGATGCAGAGGCACATGTGCATGCTGGCGATGATGACAGCGGCGATGGCAGAGCGCCAGGCTCGCCGGCCCCCAGCGTCCCACCGAGCGCGTGAGTGCGCGCGCGAGTCCCGTGCGTGGGCCCGTGCGTAAGCGCAGCAGCGGTGATGCAGAGCCCGTGCGGCGGCGCACGTGTGTGCGCATGTGGACAAGTGGCGACGCCAGGCCGAGGCACGGTGACCACGCCCCAGACGCTGAAACCAGCGGTAATGTGCCATGCATGAGTTTTAAAGCGCCCCAAAACCCCAACTCGATGCTTCAATTACTAAACCACCTATTTTACACTCGAGATGGCATGTTTGGCTACTAAAACAAACCCTAGGACCATACTACTACTTAACCCAATTCTTCTACAAGAATTGCTGAACTTAGCTTCGTCAAAACGTTTCCCGACTTAGGAAATTCGACTAAGTCTCGATCAGATTCGCGTTGAATTCGATTTCCAAGCTATTCGCTACGCTAGCTAGTAAATTCTTTTCACGACCTCAAGTATTTCATCATCACCTACACGGTTTGTACTTTACTAAAATTCTGTATATACGTTCTATAGCATTTTCGCTTAATAAAAATTAGTTTACAACCCTAAGTGACATAACGCGATATTGAATGTAACTTTCGTTTCGCGTTTCCGATGAACGTTTTGGGTCACAGAATTTGATTTACACACACTATATTACATACACTATCACATAAACATGATGCCCATGCAATGTTTTAGCAAAACTTTATAGTGTAACACCGAGGGTGTTACAGGGATGGTGGAAGTCTAAACACCACACCGAGTCCGGGACTCAGGTGTAGGGGCTTGGAGTCCAAGTTTGGATGGGGACTGGACCCCTTGACAGGAGAGTGGTGGGTTGGTTCTGCTTGTGCCTGGGGTATAAGCGGGGCGTGTGTTTTGGGGTACATAGCTAGGATACATTAGTTCGCGAATCGCCGTATGATACGGTATGACTTGGCTACGATCTAGCACTGTAGTAAGAACTGGAATATAAAAGATGGTAAAATGGTTCTGATTGCTTACCATCTGCTTAAAAGTAGCATAGGTGCTTACATAAAATGGTTAGTTAATGAACTAATGATGACTGCTAATAAAATTGAATATAAGGACGAACGTTTAGTAATGCTCCTACAGATGTAATAAATCCACAAGCCAGATAGCCTTGCATATCCTTAGAGTTTTTTCTTTCCTTCTGATGGGTAAGTCTTGCGGAGTACAATTGAGCACTCAGGGTTTGTCCTACCCTATTACAGGTGACAAGTGGATGCTAGAGCTGTCACTTGTGTGCGAAAACCTCCTGGTGGGCTCAGTGAGGATTTCCTCAACGTTGCGGACATAGAGTTTATTTGAAACTTCCACCCAAAATGTTTTACAATGGAAAAACTTATAACCTGTTATGATGTATATAACAGATCATCATGTTAATGTTTGACTTGACATTAAATGATTTTATTTTCGCTAAAACTCTGATAACATGGTTATATTTCGCTATTATAAATAATAAATATTATACTATGATGTTGCACGGAAAGTGATGTAAGAAATGGCTAAAATGTTGTAAGCTTTATTCTCTCATTTATGATCCTGTTGAAAATGTGGATTTTTGGGTTCTTCTATGAGGTGTGCTCGACAGAACTATTTAAATTAGCTCACTCTTGGGGTGTTTAGTGTCTAATGAAAGACAACCATCTCTGGAAGTGAGTTATTTTAGGTGGTTCTCTCACACGGGTGAAGCTCCAGATACGCGGAGCTCGCCCCTTGGCGCTCGGAGAGGCGAAGTAGTCCTCCCGAATCGTCGCGGTGAGTGGAGGCTAGGCGATGGTGATGACCCCCGACTGCTCCGCCATAGATGGATCGATCACCTGTGCTTACGGTAGGGAGGATCCCAGAGCTTGATCGATGCGCTCGCCAAGATCCAGCACCGCGTGTTCCAGCTAATGGACGCGATTGTCGACCTCAGGCTTCCAGGTCATCAACTCCGTCTTCAAAGTCCTCATCTGTGACATCGAGCTCTTGAGCTCGTTGATTCCCTTCGAGTTCTCGCTCAACACCGCCAAGATCTGCCCAATTGCTCTTCTGGTGTCGCCATGGCCATCTGCCTGCGCATGAGGTATGGGTGCGATGCCAGAATCACGATTTCCCCCACAAATTGACTCGCGGTGCTTGGGAATTATAGACAAACCTCTGGCGGCGGCAGCTCACTGACCTCCAGAGATCTCGATCAAACCCGAAGCATTTGCAGAGTCAATCGATGGGATACGGAAACGCTGTGATTACGGATCGAACGGCTCCGATACTAGGATGTAACCGGAACGATATAAACGAACGATAATTAGGTAGTATTTGGGTGGAAACTCGGTCGAACGCCGATCGATCAACGAGATCGCCGTGCCCCGCCGCCGTCGCCCTCGGGCACGGTCTGGTACAAGTTCGAGTTTGAATCCTCCACGTCTCTCTCTCGATTACAAAGGGGAGCCAAGTTGGGCTTGCCCTCCCTCATGGACCATGCAGGGTCCCTAGTTGATCCATTCTGGGCCGAATGTCTCGTGACTGGGCTTCTTCAGTCGATTCGGCCTGCTCGCCTCTTCCATCAGTTTCCTTGGCTCCTTATCGCTCTTCTCTGATGTCCAGCCTTTATCGCTGACCGTGGAAGTAGAGGCACCCAGCCTGTTCGGTTGGCTGGTTCGTTTTGTTGCTGGTTCGTAAAGAAATACTGTTGACTGATTTATGTGAGAGAAAAATACTGTTTCAGCTAGAAATTTACGATCGTTTACAACAAGCCACGTCCAAACGAACAGAGCATTGGTGACACCACCCCAGCTGAGCAGCCCACTATCGCGCTACCGCTATTCGCGCATGATTAAAGAGAGCGAAGTTCCCAACAGCGGAAAGTCTTTGGAAGTTCGAATCATGGGAGCATGAGAGCGGCGGTCCGCACGAGGCGGCCACGGCCGCCACGGCCACCGCCGGAGCTGGCCAAGGCGCCGATTTCGCCGACGACGCGGAGTAAGCCGGAGAAAGACCTCTCTTTTTTAACCCTCCCGATAAGGGCGTTCAAGCTCCGCCTGGCTAATGGTCCACCGCTGGCGCCGACGGCGAAGGCCTTCAAGTCCTACTCCGAGACCTGCGCCTCCCTCCTCCGCCTCTGCCGCGCTACGAGAGCCGCCTCCACCGCCACGCTCGCTTACGCGCCCTCCTCCGGTTGCCTGCCGCTTGTCCTCTCCCTACACGCGCACACCCTCCGCTCTGGCCTCACTGCCGACCGATCCGTCGCATCGAACCTTCTCACAGCCTACGCCTCCTTCGCGCGCGCCACGGACCGTGACCGGGCCTTCCGAGACTTCGTTGCCGCCGATGCAGCATCCTCCTTCACTTACGACTTCATGGTGTCAGAGCATGTGAAGGCCGGGGACATTGCCTCTGCCCGCAGGCTATTCGACGGAATGCCCGAGAAGAGTATCGTGTCGTACACAACCATGGTCGACGCGCTCATGAAGCATGGGTCTGTGAGGGACGCTGTTGAGCTCTATGAACGATGCCCGCTCCACTCGGTTGCCTTCTTCACAGCCATGATTGCTGGGTTTGTCCGCAATGAACTCCAGAGGAATGCATTCCCTGTGTTTCGCAAGATGCTAAGCTGCAGTGTGAGACCTAATGTGGTTACTCTGATTTGTGTGATCAAGGCCTGTGTTGGAGCAGGTGAATTTGATCTTGCTATGGGTGCGGTGGGATTGGCAATCAAATGCAACTTGTTTGAAAAGAGTATTGAGGTACACAATTCTTTGATCACTCTGTATCTAAGAATGGGAGATGCAGCTGCGGCACACAGGGTGTTTGATGACATGGAGGTGAGGGATGTCGTCTCATGGACCGCATTACTTGATGTGTATGCTGACTTGGGTGACCTCGAGGGAGCACGGCAGGTTCTTGATGCAATGCCTGAGAGGAACGAGGTCTCCTGGGGTACTTTGATTGCAAGGCATGAGCAGAAAGGTGATCCTGCAGAAGCATTGAGGCTTTACAGCCAAATGCTTGCTGACGGTTGCAGGCCAAACATTTCATGCTTCTCTAGTGTGCTCAGTGCTTGTGCTACCCTTCAAGATTTAAGAGGAGGAACAAGGATACATGCCAATGCACTGAAGATGGGCTCTAGTACCAATTTGTTTGTATCCAGCTCTTTGATTGACATGTACTGCAAATGCAAACAATGTACTGACGCTCAAAGGGTTTTCAATTCCCTCCCAGAAAAGAACACAGTATGCTGGAACTCTCTTATTTCAGGTTATAGCTGGAATGGGAAAATGGTGGAAGCAGAGGATCTCTTCAAGAAGATGCCTGCAAGGAATTCAGCTTCATGGAATGCAATGATTTCTGGTTATGCAGAAAATCGACGATTTGGTGATGCACTAAATTATTTCTGTGCAATGTTGGCTTCAGGACAGATTCCAGGGGAAATCACCTTGTCAAGTGTTCTTCTTGCATGTGCAAACTTGTGCTCTTTGGAGATGGGCAAGATGGTTCACGCTGAGATTGTCAAGCTTGGAATCGAAGATAACATCTTTATGGGGACTGCACTCAGTGACATGTATGCCAAGTCAGGGGATTTGGACAGCTCCAGGAGGATGTTCTATCAAATGCCTGAAAAAAACAATATCACTTGGACTGCCATGGTTCAGGGACTTGCAGAAAACGGCTTTGCTGAAGAGTCTATTTTGTTGTTTGAGGATATGATAGCAAATGGAATAGCACCAAACGAGCATACATTTCTAGCTATTCTATTTGCTTGTTCCCACTGTGGTTTGGTGGAGCAAGCCATACATTATTTTGAAACAATGCAGGTACATGGTGTCCCACCTAAAGATAAACACTACACTTGCATGGTTGATGTCCTAGCTAGAGCTGGCCGTTTGCCAGAAGCAGAAGAGCTTCTCATGAAGGTTCCAAGTAAATCAGACACAAGTTCATGGTCATCTCTTCTGAGTGCTTGCAACACTTACAGGAACAAGGAGATCGGTGAGAGGGCAGCAAAGAAACTTCATGAGTTGGAGAAGGATAATACAGCAGGCTATGTGCTACTCTCAAACATGTATGCATCGTGTGGTAAATGGAAAGATGCTGCTGAGACGAGGATACTGATGCAAGGGGCTAACCTTAAGAAAGATGGTGGGTGCAGCTGGTTGCAATTAAGAGGACAATATCATGCCTTCTTTTCATGGAAAGGGAAGCATCCTTTGTCATTGGAAATTTCTGAGATATTGGATTTGCTGATGTGGGAACTTACTACTTGAATTTGTTGTGATGTTTGGTCAGCAGTGGGGACAGTTCTGACTTCTGAGCAAATGAGGATTCCTGTGTATTCTCAATTTTCATGAAGGTAAAGTAGCAGACTAGAGTTGATGGATAATTAACTTCCTGAATGTGTGTTCTCTTGATGCAGTGACTTGCACAGGTATTCAAGGATATCTCCTTCTAAACAGTAGCTATCAGCAAATTCTGTTGGCAGATCATGAATGCTTTCATGGTGGAGAATTATGCTCTAAAGTTATTGCAATTGAGTACACTTATTTTGAACATAATTGTCATGACGCTCTACTTCACCCAGTTCCTGAAGCTTTTGGCAACACAAGACATGATTTGAACTAGCTTCAGAATAACAGTAGAGAAATTACAGCTCCCCTTTCCAAAAATTTGAATCTGTCAACTGTATCTTTTCTGGGCACCTCTGCTACACACAAAGTGAAGATTACAGTGGTGATGCTCCAGAAGATGTAAATATACTACAAATAGTGTTTCAAGCTCAAGTCTAAGCATAACTACAATGGGTTGGTTTCACTGACATAGTGACATATGATGATATGACCCTGATTTGGTGCTATGGTTTCTCTTTTTAATTGTGTGCCTATGAAGGGCTATCATTCCAGTTGGACAAGAAGAATTTTTATAATGAAGTTTTGGAAGATCTCCCCAATTCGTTGCATCATTTACCATGAAAAACAGGTGCGTATCATTATGCTGAATGTATATTATGTTGTTTGATCATAAGGCAAGAAGTATTTTTTCTTGAACCAGAGTAGAGTTGCCTGTCATTATTATTTTAAGAAAAAGAATGAGTAAATAAAGGTAGGAAAAGTCTGAAGGAAAACGAAAGGCAAACTAAGAAACTAAAGGAAAAAAAGGAGGAACAAAAACTAAAAACTAAACAAAGAGAAGAAAAGGAAAAGAATGAAACATCAACAACAACAAAAACAAAGCTTCTTGAAGATAATTCATGCATTCTTGTTTAACTTAATTTAATGAGTCCAGTTTGAAAGCACTTGTCTCTTTTCAGTTGAAGACTTGGAAAATATAAAAAACATCTCTGGGTAGCCTACATGTATCTTATTGATTCAGAAGACATGCAAGGGGAGTGAATTTTTTACGTATTCTGGATTCTGCAGTAAGTTTTTCCAGTAAAAGTTTATGGTTAGTCAATGAGTCTGTATACTTACTGTGTCAATTACTGTACGTGTAACAGCTATATTGATGGTTAAATTGAATCATAACTGCGAAAGGGATTCCATTTTGGACCTTCATGCTTGTACTCTTGTTTTTTTCCCTCAAACATATAGGAGAGCTGCGTGCCATTGTATATTAATAGAAAGAAGTGGTCCGATTACACACCAAATCCACTGCTTGGGTTAGTATTTTTTTTTACATTCACACCCTATGATTGTTGGTGTACTGCCCCGCTACTACTACTCCACCATGTTCCACTTGTATAATTGTATTCTTTCTTTGTGCTCGTTAGTTTAGTCCTCCAGACCTGGAAGCTGTCTTAGAGCAGTGGAACTGGAACACCACCAAGCACTTGTGCCCTAACCATACAGCCCTCCAAAACACTAATTTCTTGAAATGTGAATTGTTAGGTGCAAACTAATCTTTACATATGTGGTTGCTACTGTTAAAGGAGACCTACTGCTGTTAATTTATTATCTAACCTGTGTACAACTGTGACTCTGTGACACACCTTAGCCAAACTCTTGAAGGAGACCTACTGTTGTTGTCTACTGCTCACTCCTCTTATTCTTGCAGATTAATTAGTCTCAATGGTTCTGATACACTCAATTCTTCTTCGGTTCTTCCAGACTTGAGAACTGTCTTGGAGCAGTAGAACTCAACCAAGCACTGAATTCAATTGTGCCCTACTGTAGCCTTGTAAGCCCTCCAAAGCACTAGTTTCTCAAAACTTGAATTGCTAAGTGCAAAATCTTTGCATTGTAATTGCTACCGTTAAAGGAGACCTACTGTTGATCTAACCTGTGTGCAATTGTGACCTTGTGATGTACCTTAGCCACATTGAGATGGACGGCAAACCTAATTCTATATGCTAATGTTCACTAGTCTTTCTCTTCTTGCAGATTAATCAGTCTCGATGCTTCTGATACACTCAGTTCTGGCTCTCTGTCCACATGGCCACATGGGATGATCTCTGGGACTGCGCAGACTCTTCGATTCCTGAATCACAGTCGTTATCAGCTTATAGAAACCCAGATGCAGCACATGTGGCTCAGCAGTCTAGCAATCGGTGTGCTGTTGCGCTCTACTGAAGCACTGACCGAACCGGAGGTTAACATAGTCGGTGGCAGTGGCAGGTGATCCATCATCCGCCGTGGTGTGGTGTGTACGCGCGGGTGCGGCTTGACACCCCACGCGGCGCGCCCGTCCGATTCCGACCCGTCAGCTCGGTGGTTCACGTCGGCGGGACCGCTCTTCTTTGTTCCGAACCTTCGTCACCCTGCCCGCCTGGCCACACCCACACACCCAACATCGCGCAATCAGCGACGACCCCAGGCCAAAGGCCCAGCCAGGCAAGCAGTGTCACTCAATCGGAAAACGCGTCGCCTTCAGGGAGTCAGGTGCGTCTTCTAGTCCGCTGGTTTCTCCCCTCGCCTTCTCTTCCCCAACTCACCGCACCGATCCACCTTTACCAATTTTTTCTCCCTTGTGCTTGTTTTCTTGGTTCGTCCCAGAGAGCGTTGATCTCGCCTTTGCTGGTGGTCTGGTCGGTGGCAGCGGTGACCTGTGATGGAGCCCCTGGAGGTGGCCATAACGATCATATTCGACGCGCTGCTGCTTCTGTTCATGGTCAAGCTCTTCTTCGCCATGTTCCAGATGAAGCTGGTCGTCATCCTCTTCTACCTCGTCATCCTCCTCTTCGCCATGGCCTTCTCCGGCCGGGCGCCCAGTAGCTTCTAGCTCGTAGCAGGTGGCAAAAATCTTTCTTCCCCGGTTCCCCCCTTCTTTCGTTTCTTCTCCTTTTGAGGGTATAGATCGGTGGAGTCGTGCAGCACTACGTCCTGTGAAAACATTAAGACTATCATCTCGGTTTTTGGTTCAAGACTAATTTTTCTCTAGAAAAAAAAATGTATGCATGATCCGAGGCGCAAATTGCGTACGCGTGAAGAGAAACCGTGTGCTCAAAACACGTGAATTAGTCAATCTAGAGCTTCTCCTACGTTTCATACTTCTGTTGATCTATTTCTAAGTAATTCGTGCTGTACCTTCTGCCTTTTTGTTATGGTTTCGTGGATCACAGATAGAGAGCAGTGGTGCAGATGAAAATAGATGAACAGTGAACAATGTTGCTTGTGTAAGTTTGACCCTTTTTTCCTTGGAAAAACTTCCCATATTTATGGTTTTTTGGGGGGTAAGATGTAAAAAATAGTGTTTCTCTTGCTTTTGATAAAATAAAAGGGGCTCCAACTTCTCCTAGAACCCTAACTCTAGCCATGTGGCCTCCATGATTAGAGAAGGCCCCGGAAGTGCCGAAATGGTAGTCTTTCTCGGTTGCACGCATCACTGATTTGAGCAATAGAAAAAAAAAAATAGGAGCATCGACTTTGGTGGGTATCAGTCTATCACCAATGGCCCTTTTGGCCTTTTCTCGTCCGCATCGTATTTTGTGGACTGCCTTTTCCCATTAGTCTACATATACAATTGTTGTGTTGTGCTTTGTATATTCACGGTACATTCTCGTCGTGATGATAGCAAGCGCTGATGCAAAATTGACGCCACACTCACACAGAAAGCGAAGCAGGGCTGTCCTAAGTCCTAACCCAGGCGTACAGGGGATGCCTGTTTAAGACAGAGAAGAAATTAGTGTGCAAACAATATTCCTCCAGGGCGTATTAGTTATGGTTTTTATTGATATTGAGTGAAACCATTATTGGGCCTAATAGCAACGGCATCAAATGGTAGGGAGATTTGATGATTTGATCCAAACCGGAGCACTTTTTATTGAATCTGTTAGGGGTGTTCGGTTCGTGGAATGAAATAGTCCACCATCATTTTACTCGTTTTTATTTGGTTCGTGGAATAGAATGATGTGATGAACTCACTCCTTATAAACTACTCCATCCGTTTCAAATTATAAGTTGCTTTGACTTTTTGTGTTCATCCATTTTGTCATGTATCTAGACATATTATTATATTTAGATGCATAGCAAAATTAATGTACCAAAAAAATTAAAGCAACTTATAATTTGAAACTGAGGGAGTAATAATTAGAACTAGTAGGATGAATGAGGTCATGCCACTGGAGTGTTTGGTTTGGAAAATCGACCTATTCTAGGTGATGCATCGTGAGCCTATTTCTCGTACTAATACTAATTATTAGCTTATGATGAATGAAGCGGTGATGGATCAACCTATTCTATTCCACAGAGTAAAAAAAAACTTGAGAGTGAGACGATGGAACTTGAAAGTGAGACGATGATGGACCACTTTATTCCACAAACCAAATACACCAATTTGAGAAATGAACTCACGATGTATCTCTCAAAACAAACACTCTATTTCTTCCTCGGGTCATAGATTAGTGATGTTTTGAACTGTCTTAAGTGAACCATTTTAAAAGTAATGCCTGCATTACCTTTTTTGTATTGAGTTTGGACATCTAGATATAATGCTGGTAGATTTGTCTTAACGGGTACTTTATAAAATTATATTTTGCTGTTCTATATATATTTTATATCAATACTAGTGGTCAAAGTCATTTTTTCTTAAAACATTCTCAATAGCCAAACTGTCGCATATTTACGACCGGAGGAAATAGTAATTGTTTTGACGAATCTAAATTTGGCAAACTAGGTAAAATATGCATTAAGATCAAATAAATTCTAGGTGAGGGCATTTCATTGTGACATGAAAAAATTATTATTCGTACACGTGAGTTTTGGTGCCAAGGTGGAACTACGTTTTTCAATACTCCATCCATCTATAGGAATAAATATACTATTCTAGCTATAGTATTGAGTTAAACTATTTCACTTTTCCTATGTGTCAGTCGCCTAAAATTTTTGATCTATTCAAGCAACGTGTGCTCCGTCGATATTGCTTCAAGATTTTGTGGGCCCGTTTTAAGTGTCATTGATTAGAGAGCAATGCAAATACATGTCGCCTGAACAGAAGCCTATTTCAGGCGTCTGAAGTATAGCAGGTCCCAAACTATTTTCACCAAATTTTAAAAAAGGTACTAGCATTTGTTATTCTATTTATCATAATTGTTGATACTAAATTTTTTCATGCATACTTAATTAAACTTAAGACCAAACCAAAAATTGCATTCTTTGAGGGGACGGAGATATTAGAAAGCAGAGATGGACTTTATCAAGTTAGGAGAATTAGCAATAGCAATACTGCTCTGATCGCCGAATATAAAAGGCTTCTTTGATCCGATGACCTCTCTTCATAGAACATGATTCGTAATTGTTTTGGACAGTTATGAAAAATGAAATTCCCCATTAATTCAAGGGCGAACAATGCGATTCTTTTCGAACAAGTATTTCAGACTTCGAGTTGGGATCAGTGATTTGGCTACACCAATTGTCACATCAAAGAAGCAACGTCAAACAACTGGTTTCGGGAGTGGTTAAAATAAGATTTAAATCATTCGAATCATAACAGCGTACTGAAGTCCAATTAAATCTCACGAGGAATTGGTTGCCGGCAAATGAAGCTGTTGGTCTCGTCATTCTGCTTTACCCTTGTTGGCCTTGGCGGCTTTGTAGGCGGCGCCGTGGAAGTTGAGGAAGAGCGCGAGCAGCGACGCGTTGAAGACGGCGTTGAACACCCAGCCGGCCATCCCCTCGCAGCCGCCAGCGGTGAAGTGGAGCCACAACATCACCACGGAGGCGGCGAAGCTGAAGAGGAACTGCACGATCTGCAGCTCCGTGACGGCGCGCTTCCACCGGTTGGGCCAGCGCAGGCCGACGCTGCAGGAGAGGTAGTAGGAGTACATGACGACGTGCACGCCGGCGTTGGTGACGAGCGCGATGGGCATCAGGGACTGGCGCGTGGCGAGCCAGAGGTAGCACATGGCGACGACGACGGCGTGGTGGTAGACGTGGAGCAGCGTGAGCGGGCGGTGGGCCAGCAGGATGAGCAGCGTGTCGCCGAGCTCGTACACCTTGGAGAGGTAGAACACGTGCGCCCAGAAGAAGACGGGGCCCGACGCCTCCGTGGCGCCCCGCGGCGGGAAGCAGAAGGGCCACGCCCACCGCGGCGCCGCGGCGGCCGTGGAGAGCGCGCACCCGGCGGCCATGGCGGCGGAGAGCGCCAGCAGGACCGCGTTGTGGGCCGCGGATGCCGCGCGCAGCGCCGGCGGAGGGAGCGTCGGGAGGCGGGGCAGGACGAGGCGGCGGAGGACGAGCACCGCGGCGAGGTAGCCGCAGATGACGGCGGCCGCGAAGGACGCCGTCGCGCCGACCGTGCGGCCTGGCTGCCAGCGGAACGAGGCCACGGCCGGCTGCTCCACCAGGAGCCACCGCACCCGGCTCAGCAGCGACGCGGCCGCCATCGGTCACGCCTCGCTCGCTCGCACCGGCCGCTGGAACTGAATCAACTGATGACTGATCTGCTCGGTGACCTCGCCTGCTCCTTCAGTCCCTCCCTGTGTGGCGTTCCACGTGCCACGTCGTGCTGGGCGAGGGCGAGGCGGGGGCAGTATCGGGAGGGAAGAGCAAGAGCCGCGTTGGGCTTGGGCCGTTGCCACTCACAGTGACGGTGGAACAGCGGCCGCATCCAGTCCGTACGGCGAATAAATCGTGACCGTCACGTGATAGGCGTGGACGTGGGACAAGGCCCAGACGGACAACAATCACATTATACTGCAAAAAATTCTGGCCAAGCGCCTCTATGAACACAGGCTCCGTTCGCATGCCCTTAAACCTGGCTTAGATCCACTTTTTTTTTTTTCCGAAACAGTATTTTTCTTTCACAAATTCCTCCAACATTCCTCCAAACCATCCAAATTCCTCCAGAATTCCTACGGCTGCTATCTTCTCCATGCTGAATGAGTGGATCTGTATAGGTATTGCTGATGCTACCACACAATAAGCAAAGTTTATAGGTATTGCTTACTTCTGCCTAATTCCAATTTTCACAGCGTGAGAAAACGCATACCACATTTTCATCAGTTGAGGCATGCCCAAAAAGAAAGTAAGCATTAAGCAACATCATGTATCGACAGAGCCAACAAGAAAGACCCACCGAGAAGCAGAAGGGCATGGGCATGATTGCCTTCAAGAGTTGTGTAATATGGCATTCCATTCCCCTGGGCCCTGATATATTTTTTTTCCAGCAGTCGCAGGCTTTGAAACCCGTTCGTTTCGCTGAAATTTGGTCCTCGCATTAGAACATGTTCTTCAGCCACAAAAAATAAGGAAAATAACCTCATTTACCACACTGGGGAAAAGATCGAGCTTGTCAGATACAATGCCCAAAAAACACGCGCAAGACACCTTTCTATTGGGTTTCTATTCTAGTTCTTGGATCACCATCATGATATAACATACTTGGCAAATTTTGATGCATTGAAACTAGAAATTTAGCTACTGCTGATCAACATACTCTAGATGTGTTAATATAAAATCTTAATATAAATTTTACAGCGTTCCTTCAACATCTCCTGTGGGATACCTCGATCGAGCCTCTAAATATTCCTCTAAGCCAGGAGCATAGCAACAGCACAACAACAAAATTTCCATTTCATCAGAGCACAAATGAAAGCACACTCAACCACCGAATTCACCAAGCAATACAACTACACTGACTTAGCCTCGGCAAATCACCTCCGGCAGGGAAGAGGCAGCCGACAAACTCAGAACTCAGAAGCAGCAGTCGCAGTCGAAGGGACACAGCGGGGTGCCACCGGCTTCGGCCTTGCCGAACCCGAGCTCATCGGCCGAGTATATGGCGAGCCCGTCCGCAGTGCGCCGCCGCGGCCGCTTCTCCTCGAACTCCTCCTCGTCCTCCTCGTCGTCAGCCACCCGACCCTTGCCCTTACTCCCCGGCGCCTTGTTGCTCTTCTTCTTGCTGCTGCTGCCCCCCTCGGCCCTCTCCTTGGGCTTCTTCCTCCTGTTCCCATGGGCCAAGGCCTCCTCCCTCTGCGGCGGCTTCCGCTTCTTTCCCGCCTTCGCGGCGCTGAAGATCTCGTCGATCTCGTCCCTCACCTTCTGCTTCTTCGGCTTCTTGACCGCTGCCGCCTGCTCCGGCTGCTCCTCGGCGGGCTTCGGGGGCTTGGGTTTCTTGTCGGGGGAAGGGGACTTGGGGTTAATAGACGGCTTGGAGGCAGTAGTAGGCTTCTTGTTCTTGTGGGATTTGGTGGCCATCGCTGTGTGAATTTTTGCCGCCGCCGCCGCCGCAGGCGTCGTCGTGGTTGGAGAAGGCGGCGAAAAGGGTTTGCGATCGGAAGGCGCACGATTAGAGGAAACTGGAGAGGCAAAATAAGTTCGTGGGCCTAGCTAGGAGTGGGAAGACTCATATTGTGTTGAGCTAGCCTACTGCAGCCTCCGTGTATACCCAACCAGCTCGGCCCAATTATGCATATTCTAGGGCCTAGCAGCATCGCTGGCATTGGCATGCTTAGCTTGAAATCCAACTAAGAAATTATTGTCACCCAGGCTATTCTCAGTGTTGCCTAAAAGAAATCCTCAGTGAACATGATAAAATTGTTAATGTTTTACATTTACAAGAAAACACATATTTTCTATAGCTTTATCTCTTGAGACTAAGCAGATACATATAATAGTGATAAACTAAGGATGCTCCATATGATCATGTTTTTATCTCTTGAGACCAAGCAAATACATACATATATATAATAGTGATAAAATAAGGGTGCTCCATATGATCACGTTTTTTTACACGACAGTAACTATCACACGGAGCCCGATTAGAGAAACCAAAGGCAGAGACAGCAACTTTTGATGAGAAAACCAAACAGGTAGTATAAGAAATCTGACAAGCACGAGGGAACACGCTTCTCTAATACTAGTATATCAACTCAGACAAAAAAAAAGATATGTTGGATTTTCCATATAAATTAAAGAAGTCCAAATTACTCACCCAACTCTGGCATATGTCAAGATAAACCCATAAACTAAAGTTTGGTCGCAACTCACAACTTCTGAGTATCGCTTCTACACATAATCACATATGTACAACTGGTGCAACGGGATTTATATATATACACAACTGGACAACTGGCGCATGGGATCATCTTACCATTGTTTTTCTGCAATTACACCACCGTCCATATAAAACGAAAATAAATGAAACAGTTTTTAATGCCTGGACGATCATTAGTTCATCATGATAAAACATGTTATTACAACCACATATGTACAACTGATGGGACGAGTTTTGTATTTACATTTTGCAACTTGCTCATCCCACATGAGTTCCTTTTGCACTCACATGGCCTTCATAACAAATCTGGCAGATGCAGCAGCACCCTTTGCTGCCACCTTCAGGACATGACGGCTCTTGTACAACCTGCATCCAATTCAAAAGGTAACAGTGAAAAAGAACCATCAAACACTAGATAATAAAGAAAGTATTTTTTTTTCACAGTCACTTAAGCATAATCCTAACATAATTGTAGTACATTAAAGGACAGTTAAGGCAAAGTATGATGATATAACCAATAAAAAGGTCAATATGTCGACCTATATTCCATCACAAGTATTAATGAGTACCAAACTACCAGTAGCAGGTTAGCACTGCAAAAATACTCTAGCATATACGTAAAGAACAAAGAGAAATACTATAGGTTTTGAGCAATGATACAACAAAATCCAAAAGAGAGGTAGAGTGGAGTAAACTTTTGAAGGGCAACTGCAAACAGGAATGATTAGAGATTTACCCTGCTAATGTGATTCCCCAAGTGGCCAAGATATAAATAATCTGTCCAGCCTCCCAAAAGGTTGACCATCTCCATCGAGCTTTCATGCTATCTAATGCCTTTGCAACAGCTGCTTACAAGTTAAATCCAACAACATATCAGATTGCACATGAAGACAGCTCAAACTCATTGACAAATAATAAACTGATGGTGGCAAGTAAAAAAGCAAGTTCAACCTCATACAAACTGTAACATTCATGTTAAACCACCCAGCGCATCTATAACGTCAATTTAATGAGAATTTGAAAAGAAAGAAAAAACTGTACCCAACATATCTTTCACCAGTACAAGTTCATCAAACAGCAATCTGAAAACCAATTTAATCAATCATCACAATTCACATACACAACCTCATCAAAGCAGTAATGGATCCTTAAACTGTGATATCTACTTTAGCAAAGTCATTATCTCTATAAACCAGTAGCTTTTGCTAGCAATGGTGTGCATCATACACTATAGGTGTACACTCTCAAGTACCATAAGGATCGGCATCTTTTGCAATGCCCTATATCTCATATGTCCTCAAGTAATCAAGAAACTAGATAAATCCCTAAAACAAAAGGGTCTGATCATCATCCATGCATAGTAAGATATATAATAGCAGAGTTGAGAATTTTGGGTAACTATTCACAAATGATGAACCCCAGAAACCCGGACAGCTATTTAACGATGCAATGTTTGAGTGCAGCATGGTCGCATGGAGGATAGACGTACCCTTTTGGAGCTGCACTGACGATAACGACTGAAGGAAATGTAATGAGAAACAGTTAGACATCATCGAAGTGCTGAAGAGAATGCTCATTAACCATTGGTAGCATCTAAACAAACTCTTAAAGAAGGAAGTACCTTGGATTTTGGATCTTCAAGAATGCACCTAGCAACAAAGGTGGCAATACCATCGACTATGTCATCTTCATTGATTATAACATAATTTTCATCATCAATCCCACTAATTTCCTCCAAATTAGCCCCAGCAGTATCACAAGCAACCAAGACCCATGATCCTTTCTTCCCATTAGCCATTTTATCTGGAATGTCTGCAACTTCCACCTCTAGTTCCATTGAAGCAGAAAATGGAAATGAGTTAGTTTCCTAGCACTTTGCAGAATGTATTAGAAGAACTAACAGTGCCCATAAAACATGGTCTAGAAACAAACTTCACAATGCTTAATGAGGAATGAACCTGTCATGTTGCCAGAAGATAGTTCATTATGTTCACGTGCTGACTCATCCTGTAATTTCTCGAGATGAGCAAGGAAGCTAGCATTGTTGACCGCCGCCATCAGTCGGTTGTACAGCTATATCGTAAAATCACATCGATGAGCAACAAAATCAACCCAATATACAAGAAACATGTGTAATTATAAAGTGGACAGGGCATGAGAATACACAAAATGAATTCTAATTATTCTTGTTATCTGCAATACTCCAGTTGATATATTAGAACGTGCCACACAGTAAGGTTAATGCATCATGATGAATTGACAGACTCAGGTTCAATATCACATCGATGCACTAGGAATTAATTTAGAGGGAAGAATAAGGCCCACACCCTTTGGGACATGATTTAGTTCTAGCGGATCGAATTACCAACATACATGCCTTTGTAACCATAATAACTGTACAAGATAGTGTCGATTTCCATAGGGAAAAAAACTAATAGTCACACTAACATATGTCAGAGATAGGTGAAAGTATGCTTACATCAGGAGGGCACTCCTTGGAGACGCAGGGCGCGCCGTGGAGCTCGCGCAGGAGCGCGAGGTCATCTGCGAGTCGGGCGCGGAGCATGGCGTTCTCCTCCCGCAGCCGCGCGGCCTCCTCGCTGGCGGCCCCGCCGCCATCAGCCCCCGCGGGCGGCGCAGTCGGGTCCTCGTCGTGGGCTACAGGGTGGCCGGGGCGGTGGTGGTAGGCGTAGCGTGCGACCTCGGCGATTTCGACGAGGGTGTGCGCAACCTCCAGCGGGATCTTGTGCGCCGCCGATGCCAGCGTCATCGTCGGCTTGACCGATCGGTTGGCCAGCAAAATCCCTTGATCTCGCCGGTATGCCTTCAGGGAAGCGGAATCGAGAGGTGGAGGGAAGCGGCGAGATGAACCCTAGGGCCACGCCGTACGCAACCTTGCCGGGGAGGCGTGGACGACGAGTTTGATGGAAAGCAGAGGATTATGTTGGCCAAAGAACAGAGATTGGGCATTCAGTCACGTCCAGGTGGGCCCCACGTATCGTCTCTAATCAGACACCGGATTTTGACCTCGTCTTTCATCCGTAACCAAGGTGTTGCGTCCAAAGTATATTTGAAAGTCTTTATGTTGCAAATGTTATTATAATCTGGGAACTATATACTTTACTTGCAGATTGTAACAACACGCAAACTTATAATCCACGATCCACATGCTAAAACCAAAATGCAAGGCATATCCATGATCTTCATGCATACAAAATATAGGTCCCTTCAATTTTGAAAACAAGAAAATTATGTCGATTTTCATTAAATAATGTCAATTAGCGTGTCCCGGCATTCAGCAATATTTTCCCTTCACATACTGGGACCTTGTTTGCATTTTTTTTTTTTTTTTGCCTCAGGACTTCTTTAGATGCATATCTATTCAATTATTCATCTCAATCCACGATGAGAATTAGCCGCTCGAACACACAGATAAATACTCATATGTACTTGCATACATGACAATTAACCTCGTGTATTTGCATACATGACAATTAGCCTTTAAGACCAATCAAACTGGCATCCACGATCTGAACCAACTGACGGAGCGAGGGAGCCGAAAACAGCTTGTTACCGTGAATTTGGATTGAATTTCATATTACACGATAAATATGGGATTACAAGTTACAACAGAACAAGCAACGAGCTACGGGGGTCGCACACGGGCGCGCGCGGCACACCCCCAGAACAAGCAATTCAATCCGCTGGTAGGATATACTACTCAGTGCAGCAAGTCAGCGTTGCCACCCAGATACACAGCCGCAGTCTCCATTATTTGTACATTATATGCCTGCTATGACAGGGTTACAAACAAAATTAGAAGATGGCACTAATCGGTCCCCTACTTGGCGCTATGCCGTCAATCATTTACACTAAGCTCATATACTTCTTTGGTACCGAGACTTCTGGGAAGTAGATCCTCTCCCGTCGGGAAGCACTTTCGGAGCAGACAAATCGGAGTCTGCACTGCTTGGCCAGACTAGAGGAATCAGCTGCTGCTGGTAGGTGTTTGTGTTGTCACACACGCCGAGCTTGACAACGAATGTTGCAGTGCAACCTCTTCCAGTTCCTTCGCTGTCGATCCAGATGTGCCCTCCCATGAGACTAACAAACCTGCAACAGAATTTTGCAGAGATGCTGATTAGTTCTAATCAGAATTGATGACCGAGTTATCACTAATGAGTCCCGTACTAGCAATGCATAAAATAAATGAATAATTGTGCTGCATAGGAGGAAGTCGAGTCACCAATAACAACACCTGAACACCATTTTCAGAAGGAACTAAAAGAAAGGGGCTGTAAGATCGAACTACCTCTTGCAGATGGCAAGGCCAAGACCACTACCATTGAACCCTCGGTTTCCTTGAGGATGAGCAAACTTTGTAAATACATGAGGTAGATCCTGAGGACCAATTCCACAACCTGTATCTTTTACCTGCAAAAGAGTGAAGTAACAGAGAATGTAAAGCAACGCAACAGATAATAATTGCTAAGCATAGAAGTAAAACTCTGCTTCATGTGTCCATGTCATGTTCATAATCTGCAAATATAAAACCCTTTTCCAGTTGTAAGCATGAAACCCAGGACCAATAGTATCAACTAATGCCTTGTTTGGATGCATGTGTATCCACTTCAATCCACATGTGTTAGTGGATTGGAATGAAACTTAGTTTAATTCCACTCCAATCCACTTCAACACGTGGATTGAGATGAATACATGCGCATCCAAACAAGGCCTAAAATGGAATTTATATAAGCACCTGTGCCTTGTGATATAGTTTTAGTAAATGTTGTGATACCTTGATTTGGCTGACCTAGGATTTTTTCAACACACGAAAGCTTTGTGTGTTAGCATTATAGAAGGCTCAGGGCTGGTCTAGAGTTCATGGAAGATTTGGTATAACACTTCTAATCCTAGACTATTTTATCTATTGCTAAGGCGGCCTTAGGTCCTATGTCATTCCTGAGACTAATTCAATCCAAGCAACTCAAATAAAGCAACAAATGACTACAGTCAACTAATGTCGCAACGGTGTGAAGTAATCAGATTCCAAAATCATCAGGCCCAACCAGTAGAAATTCTACACCATGAGATTATAAGAACAAAGAAAAAGATTTAAAAAAACACCCCCCACCAACAGCTACAGTATTATCGGTACCCATCATGGTACTAATAGTCAGCTACAGCTGAACAGGTACCACCTATTTTTGTAAACTTGATAGGAAGAACTGGACGATTGTACATGGACCTACATAGAGCTGACGCCCACATAGTTTATGGACAAATGGACTATCAAGCAACTTAAGAGTCTAGCCAAGTTTAACGATGCATATGCAATTAATGACCAAGACACATGGTTAAAAGGAACAGGTAACAATTCATACAAGAAAATACACATATTAATCAGGATTTTCAAAAAAAAAGAACTGTCTTTTACTACTGAATAGCACTAAAGACTTCATTGTGAAGCTAATATAGTGGATCCAAAACCAGAGTGCATGAGAAATTCAGTTGCACATAAAGAGACAAGACAACAGAATATAAATGTTGTACAATGTAATAGTTGAGATTTTTTATACTCCCTCCGTCCCAAAATAAGTGATGTTTTAGGTTTGTCCTAAGTCAAACCATTTCAAGTTTGACCAAATTTATATAAAAAATACTAATGTTTATGATACCAAATAAGTATTATTAGATTTCTCATTAAATATATTTTCATATTCTACCTATTCGGTGTCATAAATATTGATGTTCTTTCCTAAAAACTTGGTCAAACTTAAAATAGTTTGACTTAGGACAAACCCAGAACATCACTTATTTTGGGACAGAGGGAGTAGGCTGCAATTAGGGTTCATGAAACTGTTACTTGGGACAACCAAATGAATGGCTCCAGTTTCATTTTTTAATTTTGGAGCTCTGCACAGCGCATACAAGTCATTTTTTTATTTATTATTATTATTATTAAAGAGAGAACAATGCATACAAATAGATTACTCAAACAAGCCTTTCTAGAATATTACCTGAACTTTCAAATAGAAATGGTCATCACTTGCAGTTGGATGAAATTCTGGGGTTCTGAACTCTCTCAAAGAGTCAGCCTTCACAATGGAAGCTACAAGCGTGATGTGTCCCTCCTTGGTAAACTTTACAGCGTTGCCAGAGATGTTCAGAATAGTTTGCATGAGTCTCTTTTCATCACCAATAGCACATAACGGCAAATCTGGTGCCAACATAACCGATACAGATAGCCTCTTGATAGATGCAATTGGTTTAATGAAACTCATCACCTGTAATACCAAATAGAAATTTTAGTTAATAGTGCCGTGTATCTTGATGTTTAATACTCCCTCCAGGTTGGTAAAAGAAGTCGTTTTGGACAGCGACACGGTCTCCAAAGCATAACTTTGACTTCTTATTTCTATAAAAATATTTAGTGATATGTATATTTTTATGAAAGTATTTTTCAAGACAAATCTATTCATATGGTTTTCACATTTTCAAACTCAACACCTTAAAAGTTATTCATGATTTATATTCCCAATGTTTGATTCAAACCTTGTCCAAAACGACTTCCTTTACCAACCTGGAGGGAGTACTCCATCTGTTACCAATTATAGGTCACTTTCTTTACTTAAATCAAACTTCTCTAACTTCGACCAAACTTATAGAAAAATACACCAACAATAACATCAATTAGTTCCATTAATTCTCCATAAAATGTCTTATTAGTGCATTTATTTGAATTTGTAGAAGTTGACATATTTTTCTAAAAACTTGGTCAAAGTTAGAGATGTTTGACTTAGAGCAAAGCTAAAGTAACCTATAACCTGGACCGGAAAGAGTATTAGAAAACTGATGGTGCATACTTCTTTGAAAACAGCATGAAGATTGAATGCTTTAATCTCCATTTCAAGGCTTCCATCCTCAAGCTTGGAAAGATCCAGCACATCATTGATGAGTGTTGCTAACAGATTGCTGCTTTTCAGTACTGTTTCCACCATTAGACGCTGCTCAGGAGTAAGCTCAGTTTCCAAAAGCAAGGAGGAAAGGGCTATTATTGCATTCATGGGTGTTCTCATTTCGTGATTCATAACAGCTAGGAAATCATTGCGAGCACGGATAGCCATCTCAGCCTCTCTTCGAGCTAAATCCAAGGCAACATTCTGCTCCATTAGTAGATCACGTGCTCTCATGGACTCTTCAAGAATAGCCGCATGAGATAGTGCAACTGCTACCTGATGAAGAAACAAAAAAAGGAACATAAACAATAGATCTGCTAGCAATACCAATTTAAACTTTTAACTTTCAGAAAGGTATAGATATTGATAAACAAGCAACAGCATGTCTCTTTTGCAGCTGGGTAGTTGGGTTCAGAATCCTATGCTTTCTAAGAACTTATGTATTGATTTGAAGGTATTCTTGTCATCATTACATTGCACCTGTGAATATAATTTCCTGTTCAATTAACGGATGCCTTAATTGACTGATCATGATCACTGAGCAGTATCATATGAATTTGAAAGATGTAAACATGTTTTTCCTCTCCTACAAGCATATACTCCCTTCATCCGGAAAAGAATGTAATTCTAGCATAGTACCGAGTCAAACCGTCTTGAGTTTGACCAAATTTATTTAAGAAAAAATAACAATATTTACACTATCAAATAAGTATTGTAAGACTCGTCATGGAATATATTTTCAAAATACACCTATCTCATGTCATACATACTGATAATCTTTTTTATAAACTTAATCGAAGCATAGATAGTTTGAATAGAGACAGAAGTAAATTTATATCCTTTTCAGGATGGAGGTAGTATGTTATAGTAACCATAGCAAGAGATGGAGAACAAACCTGATCAGCAACGACCTCAACCAGCTCCAATTCATGCACATGCCATTTCCTTGCACTATCAGATGGAAGCATCAAAACCATGATTGCAAAGCTTTTCGCTGAGAGCTCAGGCCAATCATTTATTTGGAAGTTTGAAAGGTGTAGAAGAGGTACACGGACTGCAGCCACTTCTGGTGGAACATATCGCCCTGCAAGAGGTCGAATCCGCGCCAAAGGAGATGTGTGGGGTATTATAATTGCCCGGTTGCTACTGAACACTTGATTGACGACAGGAAGATTAATTGGCACCGATGATCCGACAGTAATCTGGTGGCGCAAAGTATGAGAAAGCTGAAGGCTTGAGCCACTTCGAGATGGCATCCACAATGCACATTCTTCCAGACCCAAGGTCCTTCCTAGCTCAACAAGAGTAGTCTTCAAAATTGTATGTCTATCAAGAGTACTTCTGATTTCATGTGTAAGCATCCTAACATGTCTACCGGTCTCCTCCTGCGTCCTTATCAGTCCCATCTCTCTATCAAGTTCTTCAGCTTTATTCTTCAGGAACAACTCCCTAGTTTTCACACTCAACAAGTCGGGGATGATATGAACAAGCATCAAAGCAGTTGCGCAGGACACAACTGCTGTAGAAACTTTTGCTATGGTCATGACCATCGCAACGGTCTTTGTATGTGTGGTGAAAGTCCACAGGTTTATCAGATGGGTTGCCCCACAAAGAACTATAAACGCACCAAACTGGATCAAGACCCATCTGTATGGGAAGAAGGATGACTTCTTCACAAAATATATGAGCTCCAATGGAATCGAGAAGTACGCAAGGGCTATGAAGAAGTCTGAGATGTACTGATACTTGACGAGAAGATCATCGGTAGGCCATAGTGGCTCGATGCAATCACATCCGTCCATCCAGGGAGCTTAGTTATAGCATCAGTCCTCACAGCATTTCCTGCAGAAGAAGAAACATATTGATAAATTGTTTTTGCCACACCATCTCCGGGATCTCAAGTAGCAGAAAATGCATAGCAATTTGCATTTGAATAGTAAGCCCATAAACGCGGCACGCATACTAGCAGAGCACGCAAATCGCACAAGATGTGTCATTCGCTGCTCCGACTTCCATTTCCAATTCCAAACAGCCCTCGACCCAGGGCGGACCCAGTAAAGGACATGGGTGTACACATGTACACCCGATAACTTTTCCACGAAAATCGGAGTTAGTAGGCATAATACATGTATATACCTGTAATTAGATCAGATCCGAATACAAAGAGCCCAGTAGCTTAAGTTAGGGTTTGGGTGCTCGGTTTCGTACAGTAGTAAGGGAGGAGAAGGGAGTGGCATACCTGGTGGCTGCTCGTCGCCGGCGAGTGGCCCGATGAAGACCTGGGGGCGTCGGGGGCGGCGGCGGCGGCGGTCGCCCGGTCGTCGCCACGAGGAAGGGCGCGCACGCGGGGTGAACGGGAGAGAGAAAAGGAGGGTGAAAGGTGCTGTTTGGTTAAGGTACGCTTTGGTTCTGATCCACGCAGCGACCCAGGGGCTCAGGCTTGTTTACGCCCTCTCCCATTAAATATTTGACATATATATAAAGTCTTAAATATAGATTAAAAATTAATAAATTACATAGTTAGTGACTAATTTATGATAGGAATCTTTTAACCCTAATTAGTTCACTATTTGACCACGTGTTGCTACATTAATACATGCGATAATGACGGATTAATTAGGTTTAATAAATTCGTCTCGCGGATTACTGATGGATTCTGTAATTTATTTTTTTTATTAGTATCCGAACACCCCATGCAATATTTCCATGACACCCGATATGACACCCAAAATTTTAGTATCATATCCCATTATTGTCGGTGTTTTGAATAAACACCAACTAGTAAATTTATATTTGTTACGCGTTAAGCCCGAATGGTGTGCTAAAAGACACCAGGTTATACTGGTTCGGACAGAATGTCCCTACGTCCAGTTTACTATTGCTCGTGTTATTAGTACTGAAAAAGGTTCATAGTAGAGGGTACAAACGGCCAAGAGAGGGACAGGTCACAGGTCTATGATGGAAAGGTCAAAAGAGCGTTGAGAGTTCGGTTGTTGTTCAGCTGTGTGTTATGTGGTGCGTGGTGTGTCAAATTGATCCTCCCTTAGCGGGGTGCCCTGCCTTCCCTTTTATAGATCAAGGGGAGCAGGGGTTACAGATGGGGGAAAGAAAAAAAACCAGAGGCCAAGAAAGTCCTTCGAAGGTACTGGGTCTTTCTTTTTCTCTGAACTAGTCCCGCTGACATGGCATACGGTATCAGGGATAGCACGTTTGCTTATCTTGATAGGGTCGTGCTCTGACTTCGTTCAGCAAGTGGTCACGTCCCATCCTGTCTCGACGGGCGGCGCGGCGCACCAGGATGCCGAGCCGCGACCCTACGGGGAGCAGATGGGGAAGTGTCCATACGTCCGTTACTGTAGATGATGTGAGCTCCCTCCTGAATCGTAATGGTTGTCGTATGCTTATGTCAAGATCCGCGTCCGAGCGCTGATGGCGGCGTCCACAACACTATAAGATAAAAGTTGACGCCTACAACACTGTTCGGCCCCTGCCATGCCCGAAAGGGCTTAAAGCGACCGTCCCGTCATATCCTGACGGTACTTTTCCATAGACGTGAAGGGCATGGTCCTCGGTACTACGATTGAATTGAGTGTCCTGTCTTACCCCGTGCTCGTCATCATGAAGGAGCAGGGTGCATACGTTGGGCGAGGCAGAGGCAGCCCTTAGACATCGGACGAGGCGGCGCCTGCCCTCGGACATCGGGCGAGGCGGAGCCTGCCCCTAGACGTCGGGCGAGGCGGAGCCAACCCTCAGACATCGGGCGATGTGGAGCCCGCCCTCCGCCGTCGGGCGAGGCGGAGCCTGTCCCCGGTCGTCGGGTGAGGCGGAGCCTGCCCTCGGAGGTCGGGCGAGGCGGAGTCAGCCCTCGGACATCGGGCGAGGCGGAGCCAGCCCTCGGACGTCGGGCGAGGCGGAGCCAGCCCTTTGGGGCCGGGCGAGGCGCAACTAATCTTCGGTCATATGGGCAAGAAGTGTAGTTGTATTCTTGTCTGTTGGGAAGTATCAACGTTTGATGTTTATTAGCTCCATCTCTATGGGTACCCCAGTATTTGGTCCCCGACAGTAGCCCCCGAGCCCCCAGGTGATTCGGATAGAATCGCCCGGGGGTGATTTGACTTGCTAGAGGGTGCGCCCGAGCGCACCTGACGGGTGTAGCCTCCGGATGATTTGGATTGAATCGCCCAGAGGGTATTTTGATTCGCCAGAGGGTGCGCGTGAGCGCACCCGTCGGGTGTAGCCCCCGGGTGATTCGGATAGAATCATCAAGGGGTGATTTGACTTGCCAGAGGGTGCGCACGAGCGCACCTAACGGGTGTAGCCCCCGAGCCTCCGGGTGATTTGGATAGAATCACCTAAGGGGTATTCGATTCGCCAGAGGGTGCGCGCGAGCGCACCCGTCGGGTGTTACCCCCAAGCCCCGAGTGATTTGGATAGAATCGTCCGGGGGGTAATTCGGACCCTTCGCGGGTATGGCTGTGATATTTGGTATTTTGACAACTGGATAGTTTAAAGAGAACCCTGGTATCCCGTTCGCGGGGATTCGTCCAGGGTCAGGCTGGTTGAGACTCGATTTCGGATCGAGACTCTCTCGAGGCTCGTGCACCTGAGTTTTGGCCACTCGCAGGCCTATCCTTTGTTGGGATGGCCGTCGAAATCATTGGGCCAGCCCTCGAACTCCTGGGCCCAGGCGGGCCGGAGAAACACTTTTTGACCCGTATCCCTTCTGCGGGAAAAAGAGTCCTGATTTGTCCAGGAAGGTGAAACGTCCGGCGTGACTTTGGTGGGAAAGGATAGGGATTGCGGACGTATATCCCGCGACATGACATGGTGGTGTATCGTGGCAGGCACGGAGATCTAGATGGACGGTTGCCTTTCTTACATCCGTCGTCCTTATAAAACCACAGGGTTCGCCCCTAGGGTTTCGTACTTTATCTCCTTGCCTTTGCATCTACAACCCCCACCACCAATCGCCTGAGCCTCCCGCACCCGCATCGCAGCCACCGTCAAGCTCGCATCCAACCACCCCAATCGCCTAATGGAGCCATGGTGTAGATTCGATGTCACCCTAGAGCGCCTGGAGGGCCTCATTTGTCGCGGCCTTCTTTGTGCGCGGACCGCCGCCAAGGAGTGGCAGCTGCCCGACAATGAGGACGCGTCGTCGCTGCCCGATGGCTACGTAGTGTCCTTCGCTCACTTTCACGAGCGGGGATTCGCCACCTCCGCCCACAAGTTCCTTCGAGGGTTGCTGAATTACTACAATGTGGAGCTACAACACCTCACTGTAACACCCCTGGTGTTACGAGCTTACTTAGCACCGCGATTTAGTCCTAAGAAAAAACAATTCGGAAACGATTTTCTTGGATTTTTTTTAATTTTGACGTATGTATGTCTGATAGCAAATAAAAGGGCGAATGACTTGTTTATTTGATTAAGCGTGAGAAAACCATTTTTATAAACAATTCGCTGTTCACATCCGCGTCGCGTTGTCGGACCACGTCGCCGTGTATGCGGGCTTGCTTGATATCGCCAACGGAACTGTACCTCAATCTGCTTCCGTTGTCTCGTCGCGTTATTGTCTTTTTCGCAGCGTTGTTGTCTGCCTTCGTGTCCCGCCAAGACGAGTCATCTCGCACTACGCTGTGTTCCTGCTGCCTCTTCCTCTTCAGCTTCGTTCGTTGATCTAGCTACCTCTGCTTAGCTCCGGACGTACGTGCATACATGCTTAGCTCTTTAATCGATCGTGTCATGTCTGTGTGTACCTGCTTTGATCCGTTCATTTATTTGTTCATATATATATATATATATGCTAGAAAACATATCGATATAGCACGTGCTGCAAAAATAGTCAAAAAGCGTTTACGTGGATGGTTCAATGAATTCAACAGCGCCCATTCAAAGATAGCTTATCTATACATCACTGAGTCCTTGTTTAGTTCGCGAAATTTGGATTTTGGGTTACTATAATACATTCGTTTTTATTTGACAAATAGTGTCCAAACATTGATTAATTATGCTCAAAATGTTCATCTCGCAATTTCCCATCAAATTGTGCAATTAGTTTTTCTTTTCGTCTACATTTAATGCTCCATGTACGGGTCGCAAACATTCGATATGACAAATACTGTAGCAACTTTTTGGACTTCGAGGTCCAACTAGGCTTAAGATATTTAATGTCGTCAGGACTTTGAAAGAATTAACAAGGAGGTCACAGTTCACCGTTCTTTGTGGGTGCTGTGCCGAGTTCAGTCCAGGTGTCGTCTTTTCAGTGTCTTTTCGTTTCTGCTGGGTGCGGTGCTGTAATTGTCTCAAAATTCCAAGTTTTTTCACTCTCCTTTCATCACATCAATTTTTGGACGTATGCATGGAGCATTAAATATAAGTAAAAAAATAACTAATTACACAGTTTGGTTGTAAATCACGAGACGAATATTTTAAGCCTAGTTAGTCCATAATCAGACAAAGTTTATCAAATAAAAACGAAACGTGCTACAGTGTCAGATTACAAAAAAAAATTATGATCTAAACAAGGCCCTAATGTGTAGCGCTCGAGTTTTACTTTCTAGTAGTCATTGCTCTGGCGTAATGTGTCCCTCCTTCGTGCTACTTTCGCTGCCTCCGCCTGCCTCGGTCTTGTCTGTTTCTCTGCTTGGTACTGCTGCTGTACTGGGCGTGCAGATGTCCACGCGAGCTTGCTTCCTCGTTGGCCCGCTCTCGTCCTTCTGCATGGCCGCACTCGCTGCTGCCCTGCCCTCTGTCTTCTTGAGGCCCGCCAGGCTCGCACCGTCCCTGCCCTCCATCACGT